AGCCCAATTTGGTCTGTGCCCGAGGTGGGCTTAATAACCGGCGACTACTGTAACAAGAACCAAGCGCGGGTTTTAACAGAATGTACTAACGGGGACGATGAGAGTAGTAACTCTGGTTGGTGGTCAGAGAAAAAGATGCGTTTAAGAGGTGATATATGAAAAATGTGTGTTTTGCGTTATTAAGACTGTGCAATAAGTTGGAGAGGTATGTGATTTGAGGAAGGACTACAGGAAACCAAACAGATTATGATGTGTCGTTACCTCTTCATGTGGAGAGGGACTGTGATTACATACTCTAATGACTTATCCCGCCGGTTGTGGCCCTCTAAATGGAATGTCGCCTGCCTTTCTGGATTATTTACACGTGAATTGTTCACCTTTTAGGAACGAAGTGGAAAAGGCCATGATCGTCGGATCCAGGCAGAGTCAGCGCAGAGACTCCTGTGTTCGAGAGTAGCTAGGCTCCGTTTTCAGCCGTTGGCAGATTACTGAAAAATTTCACAATATGTCTGATGGTTTAAATGAAATATTGCTAGGGATCATATACCTCAAGGTGTGTGCAGGGGTGGGACTAGTATTGTCACTGCAAAACTCCCTAATTGGTGTGCACGTTGTGTTGGGTAATTCCTAGGGGTCCTTTATTAAAAGCGAGAATTCCCACGAAGGAGACTTATATGTTGCTGTCCCCAGTGATGGGTTCAAGTTGGAAGCCGTCGGAAGTGTCGGGCGAATAAAGTTCTTATTACATCAACCGCGTCTTCTTCTTTTGGCTTACATCCTTGGGCTCGCATTTTCGCTGGTAAAGCCCACTTCCAAGGTTTTGCGTCGCCCCTCAATTGAGGAAGTACAAAACACGATTCGCACATGAAAGTAACATGCAGTAATCAAACCGGAGACGAATAAGCACGGAGGGTATCTCATGACAACATTCTATGCAGATGGATTGTTCATGTAGGTTAAGTTTTGTAGAAAATTCCATGCTCAAAAGGGACAGCGAACGCAGTAACGGGGACGATTACGCTTTTAAATATTGTTAACGATAAAGTTCTTTGGAAAAGAGTAATGTTTATTCTGTGAATTTTCGAGTCTGGTTCCCAGCTCGTCGTTAGACAAATGAGAGAGTTGCGAAAACTGTTAACTCAAAATGATGACTGACACAAGAGTCTGCAGTGGGTCAGTGTGTGGGAAGATAATCGTCACCCGCATTTAGTTATGCGGTCAGTGGGGAAAGTAGCTGTTATCCGAATGTATATATGCGGTCAGGGGGAAGTATAGTTGTCACCGCATTTAATCATGCTGTTGGTCGGGAGATTTGTACTTCACGTTTAAGTTGATATGCCTCTTGATGCATGCCTCTTCTAAGAGGAAGTTGGCGCGATCGCTCAGGCAAGACCCTTATACCTCTGAAGTTACGCATTGCAGCTTCATTCTGGCACCAGATGCCGCATTAAATAAGGGTATTGCCGGCTTTGCACGCGACAGTTCGGCCATCAATTTTGATGATGCTATCTTCCAAACAGGCTGTTGCAGTGACTTAAGCGCGAGTTAAGTTTTAAGTTAAAGTCGACTTCCCACAGCATAAACTACACTCCCTCTCTCTTCTCTCATCCATCTGAG